GCACGTTGTAACTTTATTCTGGCATTCACTCTCACATAACTCTCAACAAATATGGTGTCCTGGAAGAGTCTGGGCTTTGGGGTCAGTCTCTCTGTGTATATATATATATATATATATATATATATATATAAAATGTATATGTATATGTATGTACACACACACACTTAACAAGAGTAGAGTTGAATTTAGAAGTACTGCTCTATAGCCCACGCAAGTGGAGAGAAGTCTTCATTCAGAAAACATTGATTGCCTCCCTGGTATGTCCTAGCATGCTCCTAGGTACCGTGGATAATAAAAATTAGTAAAACAGGGTCTCTTCCCTTGAAAGAGCTCATACTGACTGGAAGAAACTACTGTGTTGAAATGTTTATAGTGAAGGAATATGGCAAAGGAAGGCACCAATTACTCCTTAGAGGAGTCTTCAGAAAGGAGGGGGTAGTTGAGTAGTATTGAAATTTGAGTAGGTATTCACTTGGCAGATAGAAAAAAAAAAAAAAGAGGAGGGTCTAGAGAGAGAGCAAGATGTACAAAAGCACAGTGGTATGACATTGCATGGTATGTTCAAGCAGTTGTAATCAGACTGAAGTGAAGGGTAGGCACCAGGAAGCAGCAGGGGACACATTAGAAAGGTAGGCAAGGGCCAGCTCTAAAAGGGCCTTAAATGTAAAACCAAGAAGTTTGTGTGCTTTTCTAGTAGCTGAAGGGAGACTTTGCAGTGGAAACTTTGAATGGGTTCTAATCATCCTAACAAAATTAAACATTTGAAAACTAACTTCTGTGTGGCGAGGTTAAATGAACTGAAATTGTTTGGTTTAAGAGAACAGGACACCTGAGAAGGGAGCTTTCATTCTCTGAGAGGTGGTTATACAGAGGATAGCAACCAGTTATTTTCAGTTTCCACTGACGACAGAGCAAGAAGAAATAGGCTTAAGATCTCAGTAGAAGGGAAAATTACCTCTAGAAGGGTCCTTCGAAGAAAGATTGTGTGTGACTGACGTAGATGATTAAAATGTTTGCTCAGGCTCTCTGGCTGTGTGCTGGCTTCTGTGTGTTCAAACCTCCTGATTTCAAAAACAGGGTAGAGACTGCAGGTTTTCAGGCTTGAATGAGAGTATTCAAAATAAAAAGAATCTTTTACAAGGCAATTAGTTATTCAGATATTTTGCTATCTGCCTAACTGAAGTTTTGGAAATGTATTTGAACACATCACATATAAATATTATCTTTCATAATATAGCACTCCTGTTTATTAGAAAAAAAGAAATGATCAGAATTTGCTAGAGAAATAGGTGTTAATTTGTTAAAGGTATTTTGTATTCATGTACCATTTCAGAAAGTTATTAAAGATTAGGTAGATACAGTTAGTATAAATTCAGTTATTAATCTTTATGTGTAACATTTATTGTTCAGAGGACTATAATTAAAATCGCTATATGGTTTATTAACTGATGGCACTTTATCAGTGAATATAGTGAATTACTCTTTTTTTGTTATCATTCGTTAATAACTCACCTTATTAAGATATTGTAAAATGTTAGTTTTTCAAATAACTCCAATTTCTGGAACTACTGTTTGTGTTTTTATTGTTTGAAAATATATACAAGACAGAGGATTATAGGGTGACCATTTTGTTCATCCTTTTGCATGTTATAAAGAGAAGTCCTATATCTATCTCATACCCCTGCCTAGCTGGTGAGAGGGAAAGCACAGTCTACGATGCAAAATGGCACTTGGCTCCTGGCTGGAGTGAACCTTGAAATGCTTACAGAATAGCTACCAGTGAGACTCTGGCAAACTGGACAAGTATTATTGGAATATTTGATGTTAATGTAAAAATAACATAATTTTGAGTTAACCCGATATCAAAGGGAAGAAAATTTTATTTCTTAATAAACTAACCCAAACACTTTGGAAGTGATTCTGAACATACTCAGATTAGATTACCTTTGTACTAACCCAAGAGATGTCTATATCCAGCTAGTACACTTGGAAGGGCAAATTATTGCATAAATGCCATTAGCCATTAGAAGTGATGAAGGTGAATGTTCTTAATTGCCTTCTGTACTTGACATCGAACTACACAATAGGTCCTGAGAGAGATGATGGCTAATGTGTGGATCATGTAGATGTGGTAAGAGAGACTGAAGACATGATAATACAAAGTAAATATACTTTAATAAGTAAAAATGCTTTGCCTTTATATTTTAATATTATATATTCATTTGTTTTTGACCACGCCGCACGGCTTGCAGAACCTTAGTTCCCCGACCAGCGATCAAACCCGGGCCCACAGCAGTGAAAGTGCCGAGTCCTAACCACTGGACTGCCAGGGAATTCCCTTTATATATATATTAAATATATATATAATATATATATTCATTTTTAAATGATTGGTCTAAGTATCGTGCACATAAAGAAAAATTTAAAAGACCACATATTCCCTGCCAGTTTGAAACCTTAAGATGAACTCCTGGTGTTAGGGTTATGTAAAAAATAAATATTGCAATACAAATTTAGCAGTTTGTCTACCATACCAAGGTATTTCTCAGCTTGACAGGGTAGGCACTTGGCCATCTTTGTCCCTGCTTTGAAGGGAATGTTACAATTCTAAAAAAATACATGCATACTCTGTCTACCACTCTTTCTGATTTCGACAAAGATATTGAATAGTTAATGATATAAATGTTATGTATTGTTTATCTTTTAAAAATGTAACCATTGACTCTACTAAATTTTTTTACAGGAATTAAATTTATGACCCTCCTTCTGGATAAATATTTATCAAATACAGTTTCTGAAAATTAAGCACTTATAAGCATGCATGTCAAAAAGGAAATTTTTAAATCACCCAGAAGATTGCCATATGAGCACAGTGCTATTTTTCTATTTTTGTGTTTTCCTTTCTTGTATTCGCCATGTGCATTTTAAAAAAAAATTATGATATACTTGTACAATTTAGTGTCCTAAAAAATTGGGTGGGTTTTTGTAGTTGGTGTGTGTGTGTGTGTATGTGTATGTGTAAATAATTTGTTTCCATAGAATTCACAAAATATAGATCAATTGCCTTTCCTTTAGGAAGATATGCCTTCAGTTTCCCTAAGCTCCTAATGTTTTTAGGATTTAGGAATTCAATTAATTTGTAAGAAAAAAAGAAAATGTTTATTTCCTTATTACTTGGAATATTCAGCATATTCTGAAGGGGATGCACTTTGTGAACATATAACACTGCAATCTCCGGTAAAGACCTCTCTTTAGGAAAGTGAACCTCCCATTGATTCTTCTACAGCTGCAAGCCTTACTTAAGACAAGTTGCCCTTGAGGTTTTTGTTGGTTTTTGTTCGTATAGCTCGTTCTTGAATTGTGTCATTTCAACCTTGTAGTACTTAAAAGTGTTTGGTGGATCAGCATAATAATGCAAAATTTTAAATATTTTACCTACATGGGATGAATAGTAATCCCAGAAATTCTAAAAGAAATCATTGTGGCCACTTCAGTTACCAGCATCATGCTTCCTGTGGCTGTTTGTTTTGAGCCTGAAGACTAACATTTCTCTTAAGTTGCTCATATCATTGGAACGTAACAGTTGTTAGAAAGCTGTAGCACAAAAAGTATGGGACTGATTGATTAAATACAATTTTTTTCCTTAGATACTAAAACAATAAGGATTAAATTACTCTGTAATTACCTAAATATCCTCCACAGCCTTTTCATAAACCTATTTGCAAAGAATATTCATTTATTCTAAACAGTAATCCTTAAAGCTGAAAACCCCAAATCAGTATGAACATCAGTGGACAAACCCGTCATCTAAGGATTATAGAATTAAATCATCCAATAGAATGAGAAAAGTTGATACTTTATACCATATTTATCCTTTGTTTTGAAGTAAATCCTTGATTTCATTTGCAGCTTAGTCTAGTATGAGAGTTATATTCAAGAAAACACTTAGATTCTCATCATAGATTTTTTTGGTCCTATACTTTAAAGACTTTTATCATTCTAGCCGCAGCATCCCTTTTCTAGTGTCTCTGAAAAGAAGATACAATGTGTAGGCAGGCAAATAAAATTTGACATATTATCACAATTGTGTGGTCAGATTCTGTTTATAAATCAGCATAAAAAGCCTTCAGTTATTCTTTTTTGATGGCCCATGCAAGTAAACGAGGGTAAAATGTGCTTGCTCTTTTACATTCATTTGCATCAGCAATGGCCAGAAATAAATATTACCTCACAGACGAATCAAGCTTTCAAGAATATATTTCTGTGATAAAGCAAAGAACAGAATGCTGATAACATAAACACACATTCACTTGGACTATTATTATCAATACTTAAGTGAATGTTCTTTTCTCATGAAAAGAATAGTTCATTTTGCCATAATAATCTAGACATTTTAAGAAATACGGATTCATGTTTAACTTTTTACTTTTTTCGGTTATCTTTCTTTCTTTTAAAATGCGGAGTTCATTTTAAAATCCAGAGCATTGTCACTAGGCCCCAGTAGGAACTACCCCAAACATTTAAAAAAAATTTTTAATTAGTTACAATGAATTGAGTTCATTTATTCATTTATTTCTCTTGTTTAAGAAAAAGTCTCTTGGGCTTCCCTGGTGGCGCAGTGGTTAGGAATCCACCTGCCAATGCAGGGGACGTGGGTTCAATCCCTGGTCCGGGAGGATCCCACATGCCCATGGAGCAACTGGGCCCATGCGCCACAACTACTGAGCCTGCACTCTGGAGCCCGTGGGCCACAGCTGCTGAGGCCCGTGCGCCCAGAGCCCGTGCTCCCCAATGGGAGAGGCCACCGCAATGAGGGTCCCGCACACTGCAGGGAAGAGTGGCCCCACTCGCCACAACTAGAGAAAGCCCGCGTGCAGCAACGAAGAGACCCAACTCAGCCAAAAATAAATAAATAAGTAATAATAATTTTAAAAAAAGAAAAAGTCTCTCTCTATATATTATTAAAAAATACTAAAAATATTGTCGTTATTCCATTCCAGATCCGAGATACTAAATCAGCAGATCAAAAGACAACCCTCTTGCATTTTATTGCTGAAATTTGTGAGGAAAAATACCGGGATATCCTGAAATTTCCTGAAGAATTGGAACATGTGGAAAGTGCAAGCAAAGGTAATTGATTTGTAACTGCTTTGAGACTACATCTTGTCTAAGTAAATATTTTAAACAGTAGGATTAAATAATCTATAAGCATTAATCGTAATTTTTATTTGGTTACTGATATAAGAAAAGCAGGAAGATAGTTTCCATTAGCTTATATTTGACAGCATAGTGTGTTTTAATGACCTGCTTTTGACCAACCTTATTTTTTAGCACTCTAGGTTATTGAAGCTTTCATATCTCTGATCAAATAGTATATTTTTTCATTTCATAAATACTTAAGTATATATTATTTGCAAAGGAACCATACCCTGGGGCTGTTGGTGATATCAAAATGATCGTGAGATAGTTCTTGCTTGAATTTGTTTAAAATCTAGAAGGGAAGAAAAGACATATACACAAATACTTTATAAAACAAAGATGAATATGAGAAGTGCTACAGGAAAAGATAATGGACTGTGGTTTAGATGAGAGAGAAAGAAACTTTGAATGGATCGATAAGAGGAGGCCAACAGGGTGAAGCATGAGAATAGGATTTTTACTGACATGGAAAAGGGGTATGCTGTCCAGAGAGCAGACAATATGAGAAGGCACAGTGGCGGAATGTGTTAGGATGGTGAAAGAGTCATTGACTATCAGGCTGAAGCAGTAAGGTAGCCATTTCAGAGACTTCAGTGTCATGCTAAGCAGTCTGATCTTGATGAGACAGGTGGCAGGGCATCATTGAAGGACTAGAATGGGCAGAACCTGGCACCAGTGAAGAACAGGAGAGGAGGAACAAAAATGTCTCCAAGACTTTAATTCGAACGGATTAGTTTTGTTGGTTAGTAAGTATTGTCTACTTTTAGAAGAAGTTGAAAAGTGAAAGAAAGGAGGAAGGGTCAAGGAAACATTTTTTGAAAGTGAGGTGATGTATGTGGAGAAGTACATTTTTCCTCTTGGATAAGAAGAGTAGGCCGTAAATCTTATATTTGAAACTGCACTATAGTAATTCTGCTTCTCTATAACTCCGAGGACTTTCAGTAAGGACTCAAAAGCATATACGTTTCCCGAGTTTATTACAAACCATATAAACCTGTTAGTGTCCGTTGAAGGAGAAAAAAAGCGTGTCTATAAAACCCAGAAAGTCGTTTGTGTAATATTGTTCAGTGATCATCTCTGCCAGTCTGGTATTGTTGATCACATCCTCAACATATTTCTTGAATTTAATGAAGTTAATGAAATTTCTTTAATTCCTTTAATTTAATGAATATTACAGTTGTTGCTGTTGTCTTGTTGGAGGAGAACAATCGTAAGGGTACCTATAGTTTCTCTAGTCTCAGCCAATTATGTATTATACTCAGTTCTATTTGTTTGTTTCCTACATCTGGGCTTTTGGTAAATCCTTTCATATTTTTCTTTTACGATATCACCAACTTCTTTCTTCCTATCCATTTCAAGAGCAAAACCTCTCTGTTGTATTTTGCTTATTTCTGCTTTCGTGTAGTCTTCCAGCCATTGTATTCGAAAGACTTGCCAGAAATCCTCTTCCTATCTTTGTGTTTGGGCTGCGGCAATCCCCATTCTCAAGTTATTTTGACCAGTTCTTTTTATTTCCCTATGAAAGTTAGACTCAGAGTTTGTAACTCAACAAGTTCTTAAGTACATTCTGCCTGCTTGCATCCCCCTTTCATTTCCTTCTAGTTCTCATGTGTTCAGAAGTATTTTCTCTTGAGCCGTTTTTATTCCTTTCTAATAATTCTGTCTCTGTGTACAATTTCATCCTGCATCATATGCCTGGAAATCTTACCTGCCCTGTCCTCTAAGACAATTGACTATTATTTGTCAAATCACTGCTCAGAATCCATTTCCTTATTTTTTTTTTAATGTTTTGCTACTAAAGCCTTAGAACAAAATACTTGTGAATTTAGTTTGCAAGAAAAAACAGAATGTGGTGTGAAAGGTCAAGCCACTTAACTTCTTATTTATAGTTAAATACTTTTCCTTGGTGTCTAAGTCTAACTTGTCTTTTTTGCTTAATACAGATTTCAGTCCTGTTTGAATCACATTCTGTCACCTCCAGTACTGTGTATATAGCAAGCATATCTATATTCACAACCAACCAGCAAAAATAAAAATAAATCAACACTATATATTAATTCATTTTCCATGATTTTGGACAATCTCCTTGTGAAATGATTGCCTACAAAAAGAAAAAAGTACCTGTCTTTTTAAACTGGAGTGATATAGATAAGATGAAACTAATTCAGTTATATAACTCATATTTCAAGAATAATTGTATGATTACTAATATCTTCTTTTGTTTTTTTTCTTATACCTTTGAAAATTCTCTCTTTATTTTTTATTTTTATTTTTGAAGTATAGTTGATTAACAATATTGTGTTAGTTTCAGGTGTACAGCAAAGTGATTCAGTTATATATACCTATATCTTTTTTCAGATTCTTTTCCATTATAGGTTATTACAAGCTATTGAATATAGTTCCCTGTGCTATATAGTAAATCCTTGTTGCCTATCTATTGTATATATAATAGTGTGTATCTATTAATCCCATACACCTAATGTATCCCTCCCCCCTTCTGTGTTTTTTGATTATTAAAACCCAAGTACCTATTTTGATAGAATAAGGATCTTTTCTGTCTGCTATAGCAAATAAATGTATTTCAGCTCAGTACTAAAGTTATAGACCTCAAATTAACTGACAAAGAAAAAAAAATTACCTTGAAGTGAAAAGAAAACTGAAAGTAAGAAATACGTGGGATTCATGGAAAAACATGTTTTATAAATTGCCTTCGTTCCTTGTTAAGCTAACCTTCTAAAATTGTGTGCATCTTGGACAATGCAAAGCTATGGTATAAACGTAGCATATTTTCCTAGAGCTCAGTAACTCAAAGATATTGGGAGAAAACACATCATTTTACATTAACACAGATATATATTATGGAGTGGAATGCAAAATTCACATGAATTTTTAAAATAAAACAGATGACTTCAAAGAAATTTCACACTTGCCGCAGATCCCTTGGGGAGCGTGTTCAATCTTCTCTTCCATTAGGGGCTCTTGGGTGGGAAACGTTTATGAAGCATTGCCTAAAGAATTGGAGAGTGGTTTGGTTTTGCTTTGGTTTCACTTATTTATTTATCTATTTAGTTATTATTGCAGGGAGTGCGGGAGGCAAGCCGCCCTTACGAAGTTCAGAATCAAACAGTACAATGGAATTTTATTACCAGTGGAATTCATAAAATAATATTTCTCTCGTCATTTTCTTCCAAGTTAAATTATAAATCTGCAGGTCCTCTCATTCCTGTTTGACATACCAATGAGTCTTTAGAGAGAAAAAAAGTGGTTGCTATAGAGAATCTAATGCCTTTAAAATATTGAAAATTTATTTGATAAACCACCATTACCTTATCCCCAATGAATAATTTTAAAGATTATATATGTATTTATAATTATATATAATAGATATATAGATCTGTATTGTATAAAGCATTGCTGGTTTACTAGACCTAGTTTGTAAATCCTTCATTGTTTTTCCCCACCCTGTGGCTATCACTTTAACTTTCGGCTTTGAGGATTTTTACAGTTTGATGTAAAACCTCTAGTGTTTTATAGGTCAGCTCCAGGGATTAAACCAAAAGGGTTAGTAAAGTTTAATTCAAACTATTCCATTCAGCAGGAGAAAATTATATTAATGTATTTGAAGGGACTATTAATCCTAAGGTTTTGCATACCTCCAAAATGGGTTTCACTTCAGTTAAATTACTGCCATCCTACAAAATAAAAGTTGGTTAAGTTTTCTATAAGCAGTGTTAATTTCTTATGATTTAAATCAACTATTATAAATTTTAGTGACCAACCATACCTTTTGATAATCTGCCATCTTTCCATGCTATATTAGTAACTCTGATTAGCTATTTACCCACTCTGACTTCTTCACAGGATTAATCATGATGAAAGTTTAGATTGGAGGAAATATGGTAGGGAAAAATCTATGAGATAAAGGAAAAGTAAAATCATAGCAGAGTTAAAAAAAAGTTGGGGGAATGCACAAAAACAAAACAACATTTTCTGAAACTCCAGAGCTGGCAGAAGCTTTAGAGATCATCTTGTCCCTGCTAAAAGAGACCCAAGATGGCATTTAGTCCAAATTCATCATTTTACAGTTGAAAAACTGAGGCCCAGAATGACGAAGGAATTGCCCACAATCACACAGTCAATGAAGGTTTGCAGACCTTTGTCTATTGTTTTATTACATACACTTCAGCTCCACTTTTCCTTCCTTTGTGGTCTAAAATATACAACAGAGATTCATGCTCACATATTGGAAACCATAGAAAATCAACTCTGACCAAATAAAAGATTTACTGGAGTATGAATGCCACTTCCTCTATATAGTACTCCAGTCTCTCTATCCCCATTTTGACAGAAATACCCTTTCCTTTCTCTGAGCCACAGCAGTACTTTAGCTTTATTAGTAATACAGCACCTGCCACATTTGCATTTTTTTATTTCATTGTATGCTTCTCTCTGTACCTCCTAGGTTGAGTACCTCAGTGGCAAGGAATATGCCCCATTTGTCCCAACAGACTCTTTGCTAGCTCAGCATCTCAGAGAGAAGTAAATGCTCAATAAATGTTTACTACATTGAATCATTGTATATCCTTTTAGTACAGCAGGCGTATTTCAAAATAAGGCATTATGGGAAGTTGACAAGTTGAGAATAGCCACCTGAAAATTACTGTTTACTGTAAATACAAGAGGAGAAACAAGATAAGTTAGAATAAAGAAGACACCATGACTTAACAATATTTCCTGGTCCATGTTTTACTTCTTTCATGGAGAAAGTTAAAATTGGAAACAATCGCGCTCTTAATGGAGAATATCTAAACTTATGGAGACTGCCATACCATAAAGGTTTATGGTGAACAGTAAGGATTAAAAGTCTCATAGGAGCTAATGGCAGCCAACTGTCTTAACGTAACATCTAACTGCCGAAACATCTTTTATTC